TCCCAGTTCGCAACGATACCACTATTCGACCACATGGGAGCTCGGGTTGCCTGCCCGCAAAATTGAAGGCGAACTGATACGGCGTTAAAGTAACCTCTTCCGGTTTGGCCAAAAGCTATTTTTGCAGTGACTTTCGAGTAAGCGTCCCATTTCACGACGATATCACTATTCGACCACATGGGAGCTCGGGTTGCCTGCTCGAAAAATTGAAGGCGAACTGATATAGCGTTAAAAGAACCTCCTCCGGTTTCGCAGTAAGCGATTATTTGAGTGAGTCCCTTGCACGCGTTCAATTTTACGATGATACCACCGTTAAACCCTATAATAGTACCCTATAATAGTATCTTTCAACGGTAACTTCTTAATCCAATAGAGAGCCTACCGGAACAGTAATCAGGCTCGAATTCGACCTTACTGTACAAGAGTCAGGATTTCGCGGCTAATTACTGGCGGCCAAGAATATTTGAACAATATTCGTCACAGTCGAATTATCGGTGAGCAAACCGAGAAGTGATCTGTGCTGTACGAAAGAACACTCTGTTTGTCATGATCTACAAACGGCTTTCCAGGATCTCCGATGCAGATCCCAGAACGAGCCCGAAGGACTTTGAACTCTCGACAGTGCTGATAAGAGAGGCATATAGATTATTAAGTTCTCCGCGCGCTTGCCGCCTTGGCTCCGGCTTTGGCGTCTCGCTTCTTATTCCTCTCGCTCTGTCTGCGTCGTCGTCCGTCGGCTAACGTCATTTTCCTACGTCTGGCCTCGTCCAAGAAAACACCAGTGCCACGTCAACTTGCCACTAAAAGGAGGGCTTTACTTGTCTCCTTTAACCCTCTCTACAGGGTGATTCCAGGAGCCGAAACCCCCAATCACCCTCTTTGAATTGAGATTTTGATATGAATTCTGGGCATAACGTACAGGGGAGGACAAATTTTCATGAGATTTGGCTCACAACCGAAGCCAAAATTCAGGAAAAACGATTTACTTTCCGAAATGGAGGGAGGTGGGAGTTTAGCTCTGACCGGGGGCGGGGGGTAGCTCCGACTGGGGGCACTTTTGAAAAACTTTATACAACAAATAAGTCTTATTTTGAATCATAGAACACGCCTCTGCAGTCAGGCCGTTTAGCCCTGGATCACTCTGTATTGCACAGCGTAACAAATGCGTAACATTGCATTTTTGAGATTTTTAAAAATTAAATCTTTCCTCTGTGGTATAATTTTGCACATTTTCGTTAGTCCTTCCTCTTTTTGAAAAACTGATTCCCAATTTAAAATTTTGAAAAAAAAGTTGATATGCTACGTTTTTTATTCGAGCTGTATAAAAAAAAGATTAGTGTCCCCGAGAGTCTGAGATCCAAAATTAATTCATGCCATGGAGGGTGATTCGTCCCGGATTCCGACGTGGTCGAAGAAATGTCGCTAAACAATTTTTTAGGATATTTCAAACGAAAAAAATGTTGTCATGCCTTTTCTACTTTGAAATACTGATATAATCGATGGCTGAAGTCGAAAAATGCGATACACGTGGAGACTCATATCCCCCCAATTGCGTTTAGTAACACGCGAACACTCCCCTTACACTCATTTTTTGTCGTTACAATCTCGCCATGTCATGCAATAGATGATAATTTCAAAGGGGGCCGAAGAAACATTTTGGTGCCTGCTCGTTTATGTACCTTGAACCTTTGCTGAGGAAGACACTAGAAACGCTGAAATCTCAAGTTTTCAGTCTTGAATGATTACTTTCTCTGCTCATAAAACGTGCGAAAAGTTGAAGATTAAGTTGTGTAATACTGATCGTAATCGGAATTACATTATTAGATGCGCATTTTTTCTCCGTTCGTCTCATGCGAAGTTCATCGCTTTTACAGCCGAGACAATGTTTGTGCATCGCACAATCTCAAAAAGAAATATGAGTGGAAATAGTGAGTTTTTTAAGCCTCGAAATATGCTTGCTCCGTTTTGGTGTGTGCTTCATGTAGATGTGTGTGCATGAGCTTTAAAAGTCAATTAAGATTTTCACATCAGTT